ATTCTTATAAAGAACGAATTTATCAACGGCTTCATCTTTGCTCTTAAGCAAATACACATAGCAGTATCTTGTGCTATCGTCGATAATTGTGATAAAATACTTATTACCACCTCTCATTTTTATCGATCTAAAATCGCACAAATCACTATGGATTAATTCTAGTGGTTCAGTTTCCCTTTCAACCGATTTGAAAGGTACTTTCGTTAGTTTTGCCTCAACACAAATTTCACACTTGTTATTTGTGTCAATTTGGAAGTTAGGAATATGGTACATGCTGATTAATCTACGCATAGAGTTAAAATTAACATGACCTAGTCTACCATGCCACAAATTGGAAGACTCAAGCAAGTAAATAGAATTAACTTCGCTTTTATTGATCACAGGAATTACACTGAGCTTAAACAGCCCATCAGTTACATATCCTTTACCAACAAACATCCCTAACTTGGACAAAACTACTTTGTCTGACTCGAACACCATGCGAAAGCCATGCTTGTTCAACAGAGAGCCAGACACAAGATTCTTCCTCAGCTCAGGAACATACAGCACGTTGTTCAACGTCAGTTCCTTCCCGGAAGTCATCTTCAGAACCACCTTGCCCATGCCTTCCACAGCAGACTGAGCAGAGTTTCCCATCCTCACCTTTTCACCCTCAACGGTCTCAAAGTTGTTGAACATCTCTCGGTTGCAATACAAGTGCCTGGTTGCACCGGTATCGATGAACCACTCACAAGGGTTTGAGCCCACGAGGTTCACCTCGGTCACCATAGCCGAAAGGCTAATCTCGACCTCCTTCTGACTGCTATCTCCAACAACATTGGCTTCAGAACTCTTGTTCTTCTTCCTTGGAGCCTTGCATTCAGATGCTCTGTGGCCATGCTTGCCACAATTGTAGCATTCACCAGGAAACTTGTTCTTGGTAACGCCACCTTTCGGACCTAGCTTTCGCTTGTCCTTCGTGTTCCTCTTGGAGCTCTTACCGTGCTCCACAACGTTGGCCTTAGCGCCAACAACGATAGGAACTTTCCTATCATTCGTCCTGTTCCCTTCCTCAATCCTGAGTCGCTGGATCAGGTTCTCCAGATTCATCTCCTTTTGCTTATGCTTAAGGTAGTTCTTGAAGTCCTTCCACCATGGAGGCAACAAATGGATCACAGATCCCACTTGGAAGGCTTCACTTAGCACCATGCCCTCGTCACGGATCTCATCGAAGATTAATTGCAAATCTTCTACCTGACTTAGCACGGTCTTTGAATCAACCATTTTGAAGTCAAGGAATCGGCCAACCACAAATTTCTTTGAGCCGGCATCCTCACTTCGGTATTTATGATCCAAAGCTTCCCATAACGCCTTTGATGTGCTTATCTTTCGATATACATCGTATAGCGTGTCACACAATCCATTCAGGATGTAGTTTCAGCAAAGGAAGTCTGAATCCTTCCAATAGCCAACTGCCATCACGAATTGTGCATCTTGTTCCTTCAACTCGGGAACCTTCTCGGACAAGAACCTTGCCAAGCCGAGAGTTGCTAGGTAGAACAACATTTTCTGTTGCCACCTCTTGAAGTTCGAACCAACACCGGTGAACTTCTCCGACTTTTCTGCCGAACCACTCGGTACCGAAGGTACCAGAGACATGGGAATATATCCCTCAGTGCTCCCACCATATTGTGAACCAACGTTCACTGGTGTAGCTTGGGAATTAGCAACATTGTTGCCGTTTCCTCCATTGTTGCTCTCAACAATATTTTCTTCCCCATTGTTAACGATAGGCAGCTCGGGGTTCTCCATTTCTTCAAGGAAATTAGATAAAACAACCAACGGGAAAACAAGGTATATAAGGTTTTAAGACTGTAGGAACCGTTGGTAGAAAAAAAAAACAAATAATAATCAAATAAAATATGATTATTATTTTCTGGAAAGAAGGGAAGAAAAGATGAAGAAAAAGGCTAGTGTTTGGTGTTGGGTTTTTGCAAGAGTCAAGTGAGCACTCTTTCCTTAAAACCTTATTTGCCACCTCCCAAAGATGCTAGGAGCGTTGTGGCCTAGGCTTCCCAGGATAAAACTTGCTAGTGATTCAATGTTTGAGCACTCAAACAAGGAACCCGGCGAGCAAGACACCGTTATGAACACAGGAGGCTAAAGAAGGAGTAGAAGCAGAGAGGTTTTGAGGCTAAAAGAAGAACTTTCGTGTTTTATTTCTGTGTGTTAATCTCTACTGCCTCTACCCTCTCTTATATGGGGTTGAAGGAGCCAATAGCCTTTATTATGGCAATTAAAAATGACATGTGACTATATCAGTTGGAAAATGATACCGAAGTTTGGCATAACTTATGCCCGCAAGGCCAGCCAATTTCCGGACGACATTCGTGCCCCCAGGTGCCGGCGCACACGAGCTCGGGCTTGAATCAAGCCTTTTTCAATCTCGTCTAGTTGGAATTTGATTTGCACACCCCCCCCCCCCCCACCCGCGCAAGAGAGCCTCTATGCTATACAATTCTACAAGCTTCAAAAGAGCTCTTGTATATATGGGGGGAAAATCTTCATTCCAAAGCAATGTGGGACAAAAGCTCA